GCCCCATCGTAAACTTCAAGTATCCTCTCAGCCATTGCGGGGAGCCGGCAAGGGAGCCGGCCAACACCTATTCGCTAAACGAGGCCTAACCCGTGCAACCACATCGAAGCGCGTACGGACATCGACGGGGTGTAGAAGCCACAACGAAGGGCTCAAGCCCAGTCAGGTGCGCTATCCGGTCTGTCAGCCGGTGTTTGCTCATTTGTTTTTGTAGCTTCCGCAACGGGCCAGCGACACGACTATAAACTCTTCATGGATTTAAATTAAAGTCTTCTCCTTCAGCGCTGCACGGCGCTTACCGGGGTCGTAGGCGGTTACTAAGTAGGTATGTCTCCACTTTGCTTGTGCTTTTGCATTGAATCTCACGTCCTCTTTTCAGACCGTCTTGTCCTCAAACTACTGTCGCAAACGACTATATCCTGGTGCGCAGTGGAGGGGCGATACTGGGAAGGCTAAAGGTGTCTAACCACTGAAATTTTGCGGCGCATTCGCTGACTCCTTCCTTGACAAACAAGTCCATCGAGCATGTCTTACTAACACTCCCCGCTCAATACCCCACACATCCAGCTTCCTCCACATTCTTGCACCAGCACGACACGATATCTGCGAATGCATTGTAGAAGGGGAGGAACCAGCTACTCTGAGAGAGTCCGAAAGGTGCGTTATTTATCTCCTCTTCTCTAGCTTCTTCTAAACGCTTTCGAATCTTTCGCCATAGCCCAGCAGCACGAGAACATGCATCCAATTGCCTGCCGCTCTCTTTTTCCCCACAACTTGCCACTTGCCGCTCCCTACGACCAGATACGCAAGGCTGCCCGTCTTGTTCCCGCTTGCAAACGACAAAAGAACTTGGGAAGGAGGGGTCTGCGGGGCCGTTTTTGATGCGCGTTTCAGCAATTTAGAAGGTCGCCAACGACTAGCCGTACTTCGGGAAATCCTCTTCAATGCTGTTTTAACACTCTTCACCGATGGGATGCGAAGGTAATACAACGACCAAGATGGCCTGAGGCTGTGCTGCGCGTGGGTATGAGAAGCTGGACGACACGATCGACCACGTTTTCTGCCAACGAGGTCAGTTTACAAGGGCTTCAAGGAGCGCTTCAATACTGTCAGTAGCCTCATCTCGCTGGTATTCCGCTCGTCTCATTAAGCCACCCGCAGATGTCTCTGAATATCTCCCTCAACACCTTGAGGCTTGCCGCTGCCCTGACAATGCCGCGGACCGCTCGTAAGTAACACACTTCCAAGCTATTGGAGTCGCTATCTCTGACCATATGGATTGTGACTACCGTAGCCCTGAATCGCAAATCGATACAACGCAGCATGAATGCCACACTTGACTTCTTCCGCGATCGTATACCAGTCACGGACGCGCGCTGGAGGGCAGTAAAAAGGTATGTGCTCATACGCTAGTAACCTGAGTAGTTGCCCTCAAGTTTGGCAGGGAAGGCCTTGACCAGTTGGAAACGATTATCGCGCTGGGGGCAGCGAAATGCAACTACAATGGTTGGATTGTTAGCGAAAGGCGCATTATAGAGCTGTGGGAGGAAGATCTCACGGAGATGGGGTTCGATGACCATGGCGAGGATGATAAGAGCAAGCCCAAAGAAGAGGTAACTGAGAGTGGAGCCAGTAGATGAGGCAACTTTGAAAGAAAGAGCGCAAAGGATGTTGGAGCGATCAAGGCTCTTTCCACTCGTAGTCCACAATTATGCATATATTTCCTACCCGCACCAAAGTACAAACTAGAGTGACGAAAGATAAGGCCTCCTCCGCCTGGACTCAAGAGACGATTGAATGGCAGACATATATAATCTGTCAGGAACGGGGCCGGCCCGGGCCCACGTGACGGTCTCCTGCCAGTCTGACAAGTGTGGGAAAGATGGTTCAACCCCCATAGCTGGGTGGTTGGCAACCAGGCAGCGTAGATGGTGCCACTGCTGCAATAGAGAGCAGGGTAGGGACAACTCGGGGCGACTCGAGACGCCCCGCTGTCACGTTGTGTGACAGCGGTGTCACAGGATACGAGTAGTCGTCTAGAGTTTCCTACCCCTGCTGAAGGGAACGAGTCCATAGCCAAAGAGTGCTGCCTAGTAGAGTTGGTGCCCAAGACATAGGGCAAGGCATAGGCTGGGCCAGTTGAACAAGCCGTTCGGGCGGGGCGTGACGTAACGCGGTCACGCCCGACGATTCGGGGGGTCGAGGGGAGTCGCCCCGCAGCAGGGGCTGCGGGCCCGAGACCCCTGGAGCGCTTGAGAAGGGTTGCCAGTCCAAGGGGCGACATATCTCCTTTCCTGGAGAAACGAGTCGCTGTGGCTCCTAGACACCGCGTGACTGCGCGGTGTGACGCGTGACATGCGGGCCCGATCGGGCCCGCACCCTCCCATCGCCCCGTACCAGGGGAACCCAGAGCTTGAGGCCAGAGAGCAAGAAGAAGTGGCTAGGACAAGGGTGAACGTAAGAGACAAGAGCCTGAGCTGTCCAGCCCAACCAAGGGCTCAGGTCAATGAGGCAAGCTAGCCTGGAGTGTTGGAAGTCGTCTAGACGCCCCTTTCCTGGGGTATGGTCGCAGCAACCCCGCTCTAGGGGACCAGGCCGGAGTAGGGTTCAAAGGAAGAGACTTCAATGCTAAACCTAAGGTACAGGAGTAATACTGTAGTCTTTATATACTGTGGGCGCTAGGGGCCGATCGGGCCCGCTGAGGGTCGATCGGAATGGAGCAGGGGATGTCTCTGGTCGTCCCTGGTCGCTCCGCTAGGAGCCCAGGGACCATTCCTCTGGAAAGGAGCCATGCCAAAGTCGACACTAAGGAGTGTTTGGCAATGCAACAGTGAGGAGCTCCCTCCTGATCCCTGTGGTTGTCTGGGGCCGATTGGGCCCGCTGTCAAGGGCGTCCGGCGGCGCATCATGATCCCTGATGGTGGGTCATGATGGCTTGATGGCTGACTAAAGCGCGATCCGTGATTATGTCCCTTCTCTGGGATATTAGTGTTGTTGCTCAGTGCTTTGAGCTTGTGACTATATGAGGGCTTGTCAAGCCCTAGGGCTCTAAGGGTGGTGAGGGCCCGTTGGGCCGTATAGGGCCCGACGGCCCGACCCGAACCGTCACATAATCTTCGACGTTGGCTGCCTGTTAGAGAGAGGGAAAAAGGTGTGACCTTCGTCTTCCCAACTTCCACATGCGAATCATCCACACACTCGACCACATCACAAGCACTACGGCCAGGAGGGCAAGGCACATAGCAGGATGAGAGGGATTGACTCCGTGGCATGGTGCGTGTTCGCCACTTCTAGGAGAGTGTTTCTTAGAGATTGACGGAACCCAGACGCTGGTTTGGTGGTGCTGTGGAAGTGTAGAGTGGCCTACAGGTCGCTTTTCCTTTTATGGTAGTTACTGCTTTGGGCTGCCATCATCAACATTTGATGTGGCTATTTGTTTGTAGCTTACATCATTTTAATAAGAACTTCTCCTGACCCGAACCGTCACCAAGTTCGCAACCAGTGTCGAAATAGCTCCACCGAGGGCAGGTTGCCAGTGAACACCAAGTATCCGAGCTGCAGATTCTTGCACTAGTCAAGTCCCGAAGCCCCCGAGCCGAGCTACACGACTGGAGTGAGTGTTTGCAAATTTCCATTCATTTTCCTTTCCACTTCTACACGAATTCTTTCCCTCATTTCCCTCCGAATTCTCTCCCTTCGTGCACCCCAATCCCGGACAATCGACCACAAATTCTGTCGAACTCAAGGCCAGCCTTTACTTCCTCAGTGCAATGAAAGAGTGATATTCCCCCTCGTCGTCAGTCTGCTCAAGCACTACAGGCTCACTCCCGCTCCCCATTCATAAAGTCTCATATCACAACGCCCAATTGCAGCACATTCTGCCCATGAAGCGTTCCAGAAAAGTCAAGAGACATTTGCCAAACGGACCCGGCCTACACCGTACACGCTCACTTGACGTTCTGGCACACTTTCCCTGCCTACTGGCATATCACCTCTTCCCAACTTCAAATCCATGGGCCCGACCGCCTTTCCGCGCGCTGTTTTTTTCCGACCATGACCCCCCACCACCCTTTCGCGCGGCGCGCCTGATTTGGCGAACTCATAACTCGACATACCCATCGTCTGAGGGCTAATTGTCCAGACCTCAGTCTGCGCAGACATATAACGCTGTTACACAACCTTTGCCGCCCGTATTTTCGCCAGAGAAGGTGGTCATTGGCCACGACCTTGCTCACAATTCTTCCGCCCACATCCGCGGACCGCGGCTTTTTTGCTGCAGTGGCGGACATAAACTGCAGCGGCGCCGCATCTAATCATCGTATTCCTACCATCGCCCGAGCCAGCAACGACGGGAGACTCATCATGATATGTGGGCTGTCGTATTGGATATTGCGGTGGCCTCCTCCTGTCGAGCAAGTTTATCTCTACTTCAAGTCGGAAAGAAACCTCACCAACGCCTACACCACCGTTTCGACACTTTCATACGGCTTGCGCGACTGTTTTCATGTTGCTCCGCAACGAAATGTGGCTTGGGAGTCACATAAGGCTATCGAGTGCGGGTATTGGTGGGGTTTCAACGCTGGGTTTGCTCCGCCATCCCTGACGCTGTGTTGATGACTCTTTCGGAGGGGCTTGTGACTATGGACACGAGGAATCTCGGGAGTTGAACGAAGCGTCTTACGCGTCCAGGTCCAGGTGTGTGCTTAGTTTGAAGTTGATATATCTTGCTGACTCGCGTAAGTATTGCGCTCCGAGGCTCCATCGTCAGCGAATTGGGCCTGCCGCTTTCTGGCAATTATTGAATCCTTGATTCTGTGGCAACAACGAGGATAGTGACTATTATATGGACACGGTCAATCCTCTAGATGGTTTCGTCACTGCCCTAGGCTTTTCCCTTTCCCTTGTTCCTCCCCTTTCCCTCGTCATTAGGGCCAGTGCTACTGTCACTGTTGTCCTTTCCTTTGCCCTCGGCGTCCTCACTCTCGGTGCCATCACCCCCATCACTGTCGCTGTCCTCCGAGTCGCTTATCGTCCTTGGAACCTTCTGGAAATTTGTAGTTGTCCTCTGCTGGGCCATCCAAGGTTTCCGTGCTCGCTGCACGACGGATCCCAAGGTCAGGGTTCTCAATGTCTAACACTCTATTCGAAAACGCCAAAATGATGTTATCCACCGTGATGTCGTAACCTTCCTCGTTGCAATACGTGATTCCGGCGTCGATGACCTTCTTCACGTCTAAGAGGCCCTGACTAGCAGAAGTCCACATTAAGAACGACTTCGCGGTATGGTTCCGGATCCAAGGTATGAAGACGCACCGCCGAATCTCCTGGCGTCGCTCATCTGCAGGGGGAACCCGTATGTAGAAACCGCTGAGTATGTCCTTCATCTTTCTCTTCACTTGTGCGTCGTCTACTGCTACAGAAGTCAGCCAGATCAGTGAAAATGGTGCATTAATGATTCGCACTGTGGTTGCTGTCAAGTTGTAGCTCGATATTAACAGTGCCGCCCTGGCGTAGGAAGTTGAATAGTTTCAAAATGTCATCCATCTTCTGGTACTGGCGACTGGGAACCTCAAGTTCCTGTACACCAGCGCGTTTTAAATGCCTTCAAGAGACAGCGTGTCCGAGTCTTCGCAACGTGTGCGAAGCACCCTTATAGCCTCCGCGAGTCAGAGACGCTTCAAATTGATGATAGATAATCGGCAAGTTTCGACAATAATAGTACTTACAAATAATTTGAACCATGGTTCATGGGTTTTCCCCGTATGCGCGCATCTCCATCCTCGTCCTCACTCCCGCTGCCGTTCTCACAAAGTCGGTCATTTTGGTTGGGCGTGCTTGCGTTGAGGGTTGCAAGAGCGTCAGATAAGAGTCTGTTCATGGTGAATACTACTGTAACTCGAAATCTTTGCACATCCTGCTTACCTTTTGACAGACAACTTTGCGCTCGTCATGTTCCCCGCTGCTGAAGTGCCCGCTCCCGCTTGGCTCTCGCCGCCTCGATCGTAGTCGATGTCAAGGTCGCTTTTTCGATTGGCCTTGCTTGCGCTGACGGCCCCTAGTTGTTGGCAATAGCGAGCGCGTCATCGCGGTTGTTACTGAGCATTAACCAAAGGTGTCAGGCCAGAGCTTGTTTTCGCGGTGAGTATCAGCTTAAATCTAACCACAACCCGCTTACCTTCGGACAGATAGCTTCGTGCTCGGTCGTATTCCCCGCTGTTGACGCCAGAAATCAAGTCGGGGCCCATTGGTCGCGACTTGCAGGTAGGCTGAGATCGTTGCCGCCCTTTGCTATTGGCGGGAAGTCGTCGTTGTTGTTGTCAGAGGACTGACACAAATAGCTTGAAGCGAGGAGCTTCTGACGAGCCCCGCCTATGTACCCACTCGCGGCGTTGGCCAGATGTGCAGGTGGTGCAGCAGGTCGTGTTGTCCTACGGAATGAGAGTTGGTAATGAGAGGAACGAGGCGTTGGACGAACTCACTCGTCGGATACGTGAGCCATGAGGGTATGGCCCTCGGAGTCAGGGGAGGATGTTTCTAGGGTGGACTGCTCCGTCAATAACAGACACTGTAAACTGCGGGACAATCACCTGTCCGCGAGACGACCAATCGATATCCAAGCTTTCACCGCTTCATGTCTTGCCGCAACCTGTCCTCGCTGTCGGTGGAGGGACCATACCCTGCGGCCATGAGCGGATTGGCACAGGCGCATTCGAGGTCAGGCAAGAAGCACTAGTAAAACGGTCAGCACAAGAGAAAATGCACTACTCTGGGCCCTGCACCTCCCATTTAGCACTCGAGCGAGCCACGAATAGCCTTCAGCGGTGTCGGACAGCGAGGAGGAAGGTACATGGTCGTGGTGGAGAAGAGAGAAGGAAGGTCCGACTGGGAGCACGTGATCTGCGATCTTCTTCTCCCTCCACCACGACGACCTGCGCAACGACTCTGCTTCCCTTTTCAGCGTCGGCGCTCGTGTGAATGGCTCCAACAGGACCATTTTCTGTGGCGGCTGCCCCATCGTAAAAGTCAAGTAATCTCTCAGCCATTGCGGGGAGCTGGCCGACGACTATTCGCTAAACGAGGCCTAACCCGTGCAACCACATCGAAGCGCGTACGGATATTGACGGGGTGTAGAAGCCACAACGAGGGGCTCGAGCCCAGTAAGGTGCGCTATCCGGTCTGTCAGCCGGTGTTTGCTCATTTATCTTGTAGCTTCCGCAACGGGCCAATGACACGAAAACCACCGCGACTAGAGACTCTTCATGGCTTGGGAGTCTTTCCCTTCAGCGTTGCACGGGGCCTACCGGGGTTACCAAGTGGGTATGTCTCCACTTTGCTTGTGCTTTTGCATTGAATCTCACGTCCTCTTTTTCAGACCATCTTGTCCTCGAACTACTGTCGCAAACGACTATTTGCTGGCGCGCAGCGCAGGGGCAGAGCGTTGTGCTGGCGCGAGACTGGGAAGGCTAAAGGTGTAACCACTGACATTTTGCGGCGCATTCGCTGACTTCTTCCTTGACAGACAAGCCCATCGAGCCTGTTTCACCGATACTCCTCGCTCAATCACCCACACATTCGGCCTCCTCCAAGATTCGGCATGACACTTGCTTCTTGCACAAGCACGACTTGATACCTGAGAATACGTTCTAGAAGGGGGAGGACGTGGATTGATTCAAGTAACCAGATACTCGGAGAGAGCGACAAAGTGCGTTATTTAGGTTCTCCTTTAGTGTTTCTGCTAACTGCTTTTGCAGCTCCCGCCACAACCCAATGACATGAGAATCATGTACCCACTCCCCCTGCCGCTCTCGTCTACCACAACTTGTCGCTCGCCGCTCCCCGACACCCACGATTAGGACGCAAATTGCTGTCGCGAATGACTTTATGCTGGCGCTGGGAGTTGTGCTGGCGCGGGACCGGGACCGGGAAGGTCTTGCTGAAGGTGTGTAACGACCGCTAAAGTTCTACGGGGGCATTTGCTAATCTCTTCCTCGACAGACGACCGACAACCTCTCTCGCTAACCGGAGGATTCGAGAGCAAATACACAAAAGGGCCGGATGAGGGTGTGTTTCAGGCTGGCGCAAAGGTTATATAGGGCAGCGTGCGTGAACAGCTAGTTCTGCATGAGTCGTATCGCTGATCCTTTGCGAATCCACCTAGTTGTTTTATCCCTCACACAACCTCGCGGAGCCCATTGAGCACGTCTCACCAGTCCTCCTCCCCGCACATTCGGCTTCACAAGCCGCTTTCATTCTCGCACCAGCACGACTCGATGCCTACGAACACGTTGCAAAAGGGGAGGGCGTGAATCGATTGAAGTATCCAGATACTTGGAGAGAGCGACAAAGTGCGTTATTTACCTCCTTCTTTCGGGCTTCCACTAACTGCTTTCGCAGCTCTCGCCGCTTCTGCCACAGGCCGAAGGCAAGAGGACATGTACTCGCCTGCCGCTTTCTTTTACCACCACTTGTCACTCCCCGCTCACCGTTCCCCCTACACCCACGACCATACAGAAGGCTGCCCGTTCCGTTCTCGCTTGCAAACGACGACAAGGAGGGGTCCGTGTGGCCGCTTTTGCTGCACTTCAGCAAGTCTTCTTGGTCGCCGCGCTACAAGAAATACTTCTCGTGCCCAATCCTTTGACCAAAGTGGTTTGCCGTCTCCACGAACGAGGAAGCCGAACCAGAATCTTCGATTCTGCTTTAGCACTGTCTATCGACGCTATGCGAAGGCAATTCCGTCTCCCCAGCCCACCGCACCGACTGCAATTCTCGCGTTTCTCCCTTCCCGCCTCTCAGCACGTGCCGTCACGCGTGACTCGTCACCCCATTCGACGACACGAATAATACTCTGTCAAGTCGCGTCCCGGGACTCTATCGACCGGATATCATGCTGCTGCTATACCCACACATGGTGTTCATTTCTTTTGGCCCGTGCTAGTGGGGTACAAGGCCTCTGCTGAACGCGTTTTCATTCACGAGTGGACTTCGTCGTGGGTGTGGTCGCGAAACGGGAAATCTGCTGGGAGACGGAGAAGAGGGGATTTGGTTGTGGAAGGGGCGTATATGGACGTGTTCGTGGTGTTCTTAGCGCAGCAGGTTGTTGTTTGACCCCTGCTCTCCTCTAGATCTTTGTTTTGGCACGGACTTGGCTCCCAGTTTGAGCATGGGACTTCTTATTTGACGAAATGTGAATTTAAGTAAACTTAATACAGGATTGATCATCCAATGCCATAAGAGTGACTACGCTGTCGCTGCGTCGACTCCGCTTTGGGACTCTGACGGGTTACCGGAAGCAGGAGGAGGTTTCGATGTTTCGAGGCTCGGCTCGCCGGCCGGGGCCGGGGCCGGGGCGGACCTCTGCAGCTCCACCAACTTGGTCAAGTGCCAAACGACAACCTCCTGCGCATTCAACGGCAGATTCTCGCTGCAGCACCACTCCTTTGCCATTTCGATGGTCTTGTACATGTTGTTCCAGCCTTCGCTGCTGCTGGTCAGTCGTCCTACTCCTCGGGCCACGTGCGCGTCGCAACCCACCTTCGTAGCTTCTCCCAGCGCGTGTCCGCAGCCGGCACCTTGAGCGCGAATATGTCCAGGTTGTCCGTCATGCCGCGGAAGACTTCCTCTTGGAATTCCTCGTGGCTCTGCTCTATTTTTTAAAGTCAGTTTTCAGAGCAACACGGAGTGTTTCTTACGTGGTATCAGCAGGATCTGGATGCTTCGCACTTGCTGCCAGTGGGGTACCGTGGCTGGTGTCGCGGGCTGCATGTCTCGGTAGGCTGAAGAACCCAAACGGCAGCGAATTTAACTCCTTTTCTACAGCAACACAGCCACTGTGTGTTTGCCTTGCGTTAAGTTCATGTGTGCCGCGTGCGATGGTGCGATGCACACCAATGGAGGATGTTTTCCGCGCTCCGGAACGGGGACTTCTGTCTTGAGATGCTGGCCACCGGTTATCGGCGCGAGCATTGCGTCTCCACATACGATCGAGTACTCAGCCTGCCAAAGAGCCTGTCCTAACTCCCAATCGTCTTGATTCGCTGGGACTCCCCTATCGAGGACCGTCCATGTCTAAGCTTGCTCTCCGGTTGCCCCAGAACCTTACGAGTCGATTGCGCACACGAACGATGGGAAAGGCATAGACCCAGAACAGGGAAGAGCAGCGAAGGGGCGATTGCACTCGTGAAAGCGAGGACGAGAACAATGGTATTCGACATCGTAGAGCATGACAGAATCATACGGATTTGTATATCGACTTTCGTCCGACCTGTTGCATCCCCGCAGTTCTGAAGGATGACACAAATAACCTGAAGTGAGGAGCTCATCTGACGAGCCCCGCCTGTGCGCCGTCTCGCCTCATTTGTTACATAGACGTGCAGGTGGTGTCGTTGCGCCTTGTACTCCAGAATGAAAGTCAGGGGAATGAGAAGAGCGAAGTACTGAAAAAACTCACTCGTCTGATCCATGAGCGCACTTGTAGTGCGGAAGTATGTTTCAAGATAGGCTGGACTGCTGCTTCGTGAGTAACCGACACAGTAAACTGCGGGACATTCACCTGTCCTCGAGACCGCCCACTCACATCCCAGCCTCCACCGCGTCACGTCTTGCCACGACAGGTCCCCGCTGTCGGTAGAGGGACCACAGTTCGGTCGATTGGCGCACGCAGTTTCGAGTGATATGGGCGGTTCTCGCGCACTGAGAAAAGACACGACTGAGTTGTGGTCGGGAATAGCAAAAGGCACGCACCAGCACCAAAGAGACGTGCTCTTCTCCCACAGCCCGCTTCAAGCCCACGAAGGATGTAATTCCAGATGTCGGGGGTGGAACGATGGGGAAAGGTAGAGGCCACCATCCTGGTCATTCGTGCGAGGCTTATAATAGTAATAGATGTCTGTGGCGGGAGTTGCAGGGATAAAGAGCCGCTATCTTGAAAGTTATTAGTCGCTCGATACAGACAAGAGTGGACACGCACACGTTTTCGGGCGAAAACGTTGTCATCGATGAAACCTGAGGAACACCGTGGCGGGGAACAGGAGGTCGGCGTGGTTGCATGGGTCCGTCGTCGCCGCCTAGGCCAGTCTCAGAGGCGGGGATTCGGTGGGGAACTTGAAGACGAGGAAGGTCATCGGCGTCGGGAGAAAGACGTCAAAAGTCACGAGACCACTTACGGCTTCTGCTCCCGACGTCGACAGCGTTCCTTCAACCTTGTAACCAGCCCTTCCAGAGTCCAGACAGACACCACTGCAGAACGCAACGCTCACGCTCACGCCCGTGGCGACAGACTCAGTATGTGAGCGACCGCTGCCCCGCTGGTCCTTGCCCAGATGCGCTCCGTCCGTGCCGACCTCCAAAATCGCAGACGCCGGGCCCAGAGTCAGGAATGCCCCGGTTCGAGTTCGACAACGGCATCGTGCACATCACTATTGACATTCAACAACCGCGTGAGCGCACTACACTCCCTCAGCTCCCGCCCGGTCTAACCACCCGTAGCCCTGGATCGCGGGCTCTTGGACAAGGGCTTGAAGGACCGACTCGACACGTTCCGCACTTTTGTGCCCGCGGGCGACCCGCGCTGGCTCGAGGTCGAAAGGTGCGTGCCCAGTGCCCATATTATATGGCGCGCTGACCCCCACCATTGGCAGGCTTGGGCTCAAGGATCTGGACAAGGTCATCGACCTCGGACTCGAGTACTGCTACCGCGACTCTGACGTCGACAAGAAGCTCGCCGCCATGGCCGGTGTTGTCGAGAAGCTTACTGGGCTCGCCAGCGTGGCAGGTATCCTCGAGAATCTTACTGAGATGCTGCATGCCATCGAGACGGGGGAGATCGGGCCGGGGCCGCCGGCGCGTGTCAATGCACGGGCAGCAGAGGAATCAGACTGGGAGGAGGAGTCCGACGACGAGGGAGAGCCCGGGCGAGGCCGGCCCACCCGCAGACAATGACCAGAACGCTCAGGCTGGTACTGTGAAGGAGGGGGAGTACTTCAAGTTAGACGATGTCACCGTTTGTACAACCGCGCATGATTTCTTAGTATTTCGCAATAGCAAATTCCCGGCTGATTCCGATCAGAAGGTGAATATTAATAGGGCTTCGCGGACGCACGTTGTATCCGCACCTGGAGAGCATATAAACGGGCTGGTGCTTCTGCGGCTAGCCTTTCGCTTTCCGCACCCCCGAGTTTAAGTAAGATGGAGTACGACCTCGATAACAAGTTGCTCAATCGTTATATCACACTCAGACCCGGCGAGCCACGTGAAGATCCAGGTAGGAAATATACTGTTTATTATGCTCGATGTGTTTCCTGACCACATGCAGCACTGGACTACGAGGCAACCAAGAGGGGCATGGAGTTGAGATTACAGCGGTTCCGTAGGACGGTGGCGCCGACCGACCCGAAGTGGGCACAGGCAGAAAGGTATGCATCATGACACGCGTGAGCGGCGCTAACTTTCGCTAGCCAAGGCCTCTTCGAACTCGACAAGGTCGTCGCGATGGGAAGGGCGCATTGCCTCGCCGTGGGCGGGTATGTCACGGCGGGCGGCATTATCCAGGTGTACGGGGACTGGATACTGGATATCCAGTTCCCGGACGCGGAGCTCAACGCGCCGAGGCCCATTGTGCATCACGAGGGATATGAGTCGCCGCATGATGGGGAGAGCGAGGATGAGCTTGAGCAGAGCAATCGGGAGGGCGAGGGCAAGGCCAGGAGCGACAGGAGGGATGACGTTGAGGCCAACGAGCACGGGAAGATTACCAAGACGAAGGCCCGTTGACCAACTCGTCAAAGAGATCGCTCCATTGAGTCACAGGCTTATAGCTTTAGTCTTGTCGAGTTCATTCCAGACCGACATTGCCTATACTGAGAGACAATGATCATGGACACAGTCTTGTGACAACTATTCGATTCGAGCGAAGAAACGCGAGCTACGCCGGAATACCATTTTATCCACGACTTGAAACAGGCCCGAGTAAGTTATGGTGAAGCTTGCAGCGGGAGAGGAGACCCACCGAGACCAAGGGGGCATGCTCTGAGCGATATACACCAACAGAGTCCCTAAAAAGCGTGGTTTTGCTTCGCCCCGGGTCGGGGATGGGGATCAGGAGGAGCTTGAAGTTGCTGGGGGAAAGCCTCAAGTTCGACGCGGGAAAAGCGATTGTGCAGCCTGAAGACTATGTAGGTGAGCAAGGAAGCTGACTAGAGGCAACTTGAACGCACCAGAAGAGCGGGAAGTTCAAGGACTGGAGAGGGAAATGCGGATCATCGCAGCGGATGGAGAGGTCAAGATTGGAGTGTCGTCAGAGAGCGGTAGCGTTTTCTCGGTCTTCGAGCAAAGTGAAGACGCGTTATAAGCCTCGGAGAAGCGATATTGACAACGAAAGTAACAGCAAGAGGTGCGTTTTCCCGTAAAGCCTTGGAAGTTAAGTAGTCAAGTTCATGGACAAATCGTAAGTGTAACCTCGTTTACTTGTCGGCGTAGACTTCCTCAGGAAGACATGTCAGGCGGCCTCGTTTGAAAGTGCTCCGAGAGGCGCAAGGAAGGGCCGAGCGTAACGAACTTCACTTGAACGTTCTCCTCCTCGCATGCTATGGTCATCTTTGCATGGTTAGAGACAAGTTTGGGGATGTATTTTGAGCCCTCACGCACCAACAGACCGACATGAGACCAGCAAACGGCAAGATGAAGCTTTCACCTTGGTGTCGAGACGAGAGTCGCGAGAGTTCTTTCAAGAGGAGAAGATGTCAAAGTCACGCGCTCATTTGCGGCTCTGCTAGCGCTTCACCACCGTCCCATAAGGCCTTCCTGCTCAAAACCCGCCTCAACTCTAACGCTCCACATGCAACGTGCTAGTGGATTTGAAGATGCGCTTGACTGCATGGTTCCAAGCTCCAGCGTCCACCAACGACTTCGCATCGCCAGGCACGCGACGGATGCTCTGCTGGCTTCATGCCCATAGTCGTTTCTGGCTTGTGCTACGCGTTGCCAGAAATGCAACAGCCGGCGACTCCGGAGAGGGACAAGTATGCGGTGATTCGTGGGGATGACGAGGGCTTGGTTCTCCTCAGGCTGGTATGTCCTATTTGTCAAACGACACCTGTCCTTCCTCCCTTTGACTGACGTTTTCTCGTTGCAGATATTCTCAAAATCCTTCTTTGTTGTCACCGCATCTTTTGAGTCGAGCGACACACGGTTGATTCCCCCTACAAGCAGAAGCGCGCTACTAGTCTTGTACGACGACCGCCCGCAACGCTGTCCCAGTCGGAGAGGAAGATATAGTCGCTATCAGAAACGAGTCCCCTCGTGCGTGTCCTTACCCCATATCGATCCCCTTCGCTAATGTTTGTGCAGCGGCCTACTATCATGACTCCAGCGATGAAAGCCCAAGAGAGTGGAGTAACTCGTACTGGTGCGTGTTGTCCCATGGCCAGCGATGAACATTCATATCTTCTCTAGAGGCATAGGACACCAGAAGCGGGACATCTCGAGAATTGGATACTATGTCGACAAGCGGCAAGGCCATCCTTCCAGTCGCGTCCGCGAAGCCCATCTTAGTTTGCTCAACACTCCTTCCATCCCCTCATCCGTCTCTCCGCGCTGCATTCGAGAAAGACACGCAAAAGAAGCTCATTCGATATCCATCCCCAACAACCTTGTAAAACCGGAATACCCACCATCCTTCCACGTTCTATCCCACTCTGAACCGACAAGGCCATCTATCGCAAGCTTTCGGCCAGCTGGCGTCTTGTGGTGTCTCCCGAAGGTCACGTGACATTACATTACATCCAAGAAACGACGTTTCGCCTCTGCTTCGGCCGCCACATACCGCTCTATAAACTGTATCCCGTGGTGCGGTACAAGCCTCAGATGCCAACCAATTCTTTGGGGGCACTTTCATCAACGGGAAGGCCTTCGTCGACACCGTTTTTGCCAAGGTCGCCACTTTTGCTACAATCAAGCATATGGCTGTCTTGACAGCGACGCGGTCTTGATAACCTGTCTCTCGTTGTGCTAAATGCACTCCCAAATGTTTTTCGGCAAGATATTGGTCGCGCTTCGTTGCTCTGGCGTCGTTTGGTGCTGAAAATTGTTGTTTGTGGGCCTAAATGGGTGGCGAGCCGGCGCGTGAGGCTTGTTTGTCAGCCAAGCGTCTTGGGAAATGCTGGCAGCATGTTCTTCAATGCGTCGGCCAGTTAACTGGGTTCGAGGTCGAAAGGATGACACCAAATTGCTGTCTCGTCCAACGACTACGCCAATAGTATTCTTCGTGAGCGCATTCTCTCTCTCTCTCTCTTAGCGGGCTCGTCACTAATGTCCCCTCTATCTCAGTCGTGATTTCGATAATTCGGGGTCAATTGAGACCGACAAGATTCCCTTCAACGGCATATAAATTTCACCCACCGACAAAATGGTACATCTGCACGTCTTGAAGAGCGGGAGACCACTGTCACGACAGCCTGCAATTCTCGCCTTGACATCGCGTCGAAGGTTTCATCTCGCTACGGGCTGGTACATCTTATGTCGGTCTATTGGTGCGTGAAGCGCTCAAAGAGGAGATTCTTACAACTCTAACCATGCAAAAGATGACCATGCGGGAGCGTGGAGTTCGTTAGACCTTCACCTTTCCTCGCGCCTCTCGGAGCACTGTCAAACGAGGCCCGAGAACAAATCTCCCTCGATATAACCAACTGTGAGTCGGGGAAAGTCTAGGACAACACTTGTAAGTAAACAAGGTTATGAGATGTCCACGAACTCCGCTAAGTCTTTGCAGAAAACGCGCCTCTTGCTGTTACTTTCGTTGCCAATATACATAGCTGCTTCCGCTTCGCTGGGAGGCCGAGAAAACATAGCCTCTCCCCGAGACGCTTCCATCTAGACGGTCGAACTGCCAGCTCTCCCGGGCGCTGCCTCTACTCAGCTTGCCTCTTCTCTGGCGTGGTCCTCAGGCTGGCTGATGGTATATTCCACGCCGATCTTGAGGCTTTTCCGAAACGGGGCTAAGCGAAACCACTATTGTCAGGACTTTGTTGCGTATATCGCCCAGAGCATGTCACCTTTGTCTTGGTGAGTCTCTTCTCTCCTGCTGCGAGCTTCACGATAACTTACTCGAACCTGTTCCAGGTTGTGGATGAAACCGTCGATTCTGGGCCGCCAGTGGAGCCGGCGTTTCTTTGCTTGCATCAAAGAATAATCGTTGAAGACTGTGGCCATGCTCGTTGGTGAGCGTTATCTCTCGGAACCTAGTATGAATATATGCAATGATAGTATTGAACGAACTACACTATAAACCGGTGACTCAGAGGAGTGATCCCTTCGAGTCGCTTTGGCTTCATCAATGCGCCTTCGTCTTGCTAATCTTCTCGTCGGCGTTGTCCTCAACGTCAGCCTTCCTGTCGCTCCTGGCCTTGCCCTCGCCCTCACAATTGCTCTCGTCGGACTCATCCTCGCTCTCAGTCTCGCTCTCCCCGTCATGTGGGGACTCATATCCCTCGTGATACACACGGGGCCTCGGCTTGTTGATTTCGGCATCTGAGAACTGAATGTCAAGTATCCTGTCCCCAAACGCCTCGATAATGCCCTCCGCGGTGACCAACCAGCCCTTGCAGTGGCAATGCGCCGTGCCCATCTCGATGACTTTGTCGAGTTCGAAGAGGCCTTCGCTAGTGGGGTATAAGCAGCGCTTGCGCGGGTTATGTCAAACATGCCCACACCTGTCTGCCTGTGCCCACTTCGGGTCGGTCGGGGCCACCGTCCCCCTGAATCTGAGTAATCTCATCTTCATAGCATCCTTGATTGCCTCGTAGTCCAATGCTGCAGAGGGGATATGTTGTGGTCAGGAAACACATCTACTGTACCAAACAGCATTTCTTACGTGCATCTTCGAGTGGGTCACCAATTCCGAGTTGAATACGACGATTGTGGAGCTTTATATCGCGGGGTAGCATCTTGACCTCGAGGGTACAGAAAGCGAAAGCTTGATCAGGCTCTCAAGCACCAGCCAGTTTAAATGCTCTCCAGGTGCGGACACAACGTGTGTTCGCGAAGCGCTATTAATATTCACCTCCTGATCGGAATCAGCCATCTCCATTTCGCTGCTATTAGCCGCCAGCTCTGAGATGTCCATCAACATATCCTTACTGGACCTGGATCTCGCTGAAGTTGATGGATGGCGACGCACACGTAAGACACAATCTCTCAAACCGTTGTTTAAGACGCGGGCGTCTAACCATTGTGATCAGCTTTGGATCGTGCAGTAATCGAGATGGGGATGCGAAAGACGATTAGACACTTCCGCCGCTGCATACCTGACATGACAGATCCACGCTGGGCAATGGTACAAAGGTCTGTCATCTGCCTACTAGTACAAACAACTCGTGCAGCTGGGCCTTACATCCAGTAGGCAAGACCTTTACAACGTGGAAACTGTCATCAGGCTGGAAGTGGTAGGGAGCTGTAAGTAATTCCCTAGTCAATACTTACAGGTGTTTCTAACAGTTTTTAAAAACAGGGGTGTTTATAAACAGTTTTTAAAACAAGGGGGGATTGCTTAATATACCTTAGTGTCTATAATGATTATCTAGTACTACTACTTCTATAGTCTGGTACCACCCTATCATTAGACTACCTCTTGATAGCAACAGTATTTTCCATCTCAACAACTAGGTATCTACTATCCAGAAGGAAATTACCATATTTGGTAGTGTTGATTGTGTGACTGATGTGATATCATGTCACCCATGGCTGTTTACAAACACCCCCCACCCCTAGGAATTAGA